CCAACACCTCTGCTTACTGATGTTTATCCTGCTCCATTCTCTCAGCCGCAGTCTGCTGCTGTAAGGCACCTCCCACCAGCATGGCTCTCTGATCTACTTAGGCCCCGACTTCCAGTGTTTACCCCTGCTAAGACCCCAGTACCAACTCCTGAATAGGGGACAGATCTGATGAGATTGTGTCTGGCTCCTCTTTCTACCAAATTCCCTCATCCTTATTAATGATCTAAGTCTTACATATTCCTCCTGGCTCCACTTGAATATTACCCTTTGAATGGTCTCTATTACATCTCTGAACGTATAACAACTGTAGACTTCAAACCTATAGAGGGTCGCTATGAATCGGAATCGACTCGATGGCACTCAATAACAACAACAAACGTTAACTATGCCAATGACAGTGGTCTGAGTAGACAGTCAGGGTACAAGACACTTTACAGGACCCTGCATTTCCTAAGCATAAGAAGGAAGTCCTTGGTTTGTCTTTAGTTCCTCTTATGGGACCTTTAAGGAGCCCAGGACGCACAACAGTTACGCTCTGAGCTGCCATACGAAAGGTTGGTGGTTCGAATCTATCTAGCCGTTCTGCAAAAAAACAATGTGATAATCTGCTTCAATATAAATGACAGGCCAAGATACCCTATGAAGTAGTTCCCTATGAGTTGAAACCAACTCAGCAACACCCAGCAACAACAAAAATGATATTGGGGCCTTTATGGATGATGGTTTTTACAAAATTTCCGGATATAATTAGTGCTAAGGGTACAGTGAGAGCAGAAGTCTTCATCTTTCCTTTGTTTATGAAGCAGAAACGATCTAATTTGGGGACAGGTTCATCAGTCTTATAGTGGTTTGGAGTTTCTATGGTGGTGACGGTTATGTGCCATAGAATCGGTTCTGACTCATAGCGACCCTGCACAGGGTTTCCCAGGCTGTAAATCTTTACAGGAACAGAAAGCATTATCTTTCTCCCATGGAATGGCTAGAAGTTTCAAGCCGCTGGCCTCGTAACCACTAGGTTCCCAGAAATCACTGAGTGCCTATGGCACTATGATGCTGGACGTAGGGGCTTCTTAGAGAACAAGCTTCCAGTCTCCACAGAGGAATAAAAGAACAGCAGTGAGGACTCTGGAAGCAAAGTGTCAAAATCTCTCTCCGGTTTTGTTCTCTTAATAAATGTTCCAGGATTTTACTATAGGGGCTACTAGAGGGAAAAGCCATCCGAGAAAAACGATTTTTAGGCCAGATAAGCATGTGGGGCAGGGTCATGTTTGAGCTCATTCTGCGTCTTTCCCTGCTAGGTCATCAGGCTAAGGTGAGTTTCCTAGGATTCCATAGCCAGGCTGCTGGCTGTTGGGATACCACGATGGCAATGGCTAAGAGAAAAGGTGCTATCAGGGCCCGCCTTGTTATGTGATGTATAGTGTCTGTAAATGGACGGCGAACTCTGCTGTTTTACGCTTTTCAATTTCCCCAGAGATCTTGAAATGGATGGGAGTCCTGGTGTGGAACTGTAGAATATTCACTGGACTACAAAGTCAGTTTAACCACAAGGTTAGCGGTTCGAAGTCAGCAGTCGCTCCTTGGAAACCCTATGTATATATGGGGTCAGTATGAGTCAGAACTGATAGGTAGGTATATTGCTTGGAAATACAATGACTTAAAAGAGACAAATTTAATTGTTGGCTAATTTGAGGAATTTCCAAGTTTCTTCCTAATAGCTTGGCTTCAGCTGGCAGATTATTAAGGGGAATAATCTTGGATGTGTTATTTTCCATGTATCATCCGGGTATTATATGGATCATTTCATATTCCTGGAATATTAAGCACAGTATGAAAATAAAAGAAGTGCTCCTTTTAATATTTTGGGCAAAAATGAAGTGCGAAACTTGTGGTGTGGCGGTATAGAATCAGCACTGGACTGCGAACCACAAGGTCAACAGTTCAAACCCAGCAACTGCTGGGAAACCCTATACAGGGTCATTGTGAGTTGGAGCTGACTTGACATCACTTAGCGACAACAACTCTTTTCTGGGACTGTGAGGCGTTGTTAGAGATTACTGCAGAGTCTGTACTAATCATTGTCGACCTCTGCTGATAATCCCGGCACAGGAGGGACATTAGAAAGAAGGCGTCTACCACAGGATCCTTTCATAGCTCGCCACCTGTAAGTGACAGGCACTAGGTTGGTCCGTTTACAGAGACTTCCATAAGGTTGTTTTTTAAGATCACAAAAGGACCACTGACATTTAGAGTCAGAGAGAGGGGAGGGCCACTGGTCAGTTCGATCTTCAGAATAATCGAACACTTACATTTTAATCAGAATTTTACCAGTTCTGATGAACCCATTAATTCCTTGACATATCCATTCAATGAAGCTTCGCCAACTGTTTTTCTTTTATTGAAATAATGTTTATGTTTTATTTACATTCTTTAAGAAGATTTAATTCCTTGCTACATTTTAATGTCCCTATCAAATTTTGCCAATTAGAGTTTCTGCTATTTTCAGTGTTCTCTTGGGATCATTATTTCTTGCAGGCCTGTGCTGTGAAGGTCTCAGACTGTAAGCCACAGGGTCTCAGGGAGCACAAGAGACACAAGAGTAGTAATAGTGCATGTAAGAGAGAGAAGAAAGAGAAACAAAGGAAAAAACAGATAAAGACAAAACACACTGTAGCTGTTGGGGTGCTGACTCCAAAGGGGTAGGATGCAGAGCAGGGTCGGCATGGCCCTGGGAACTTATCGTGGGCAGCAGGTCTGTCTGGAGGGAAGCACAACACCACACAGAGCTCAGGAAAAACATCACGCTCCCCAAACCTATCAGCTGGACTACTGTCATCTGAGCTTGCTGATGATGCGAGTAAGACTTTTTCGGCAGTTCTCATAGGCTAGAAGTACTAATTCTCCAGTGTCAAGTCAGAATGCACTAGGTGAACTGTCAATATTATTAATTTTATTACATCTCCCCCTGAGAACATAGTTGTGTTTTGTTTTTTTTAAATACTTTGTGCCATTAAATGGAAAACACCCACTAAAGTGCAAGTATATAGCACATCAGCTGCAAACTGATCTAAGAAGGCTGGTTTGCAGAAAAGCATTTGTACAACTGTTTGCATAGTGAGCTACTAACTTTGTACATGGAATACCATTTTTGCATGTAAGAGTGACACTTCGTTGGTTAGACTTAGCTATCTGCAGGCATTTTCTTGAAAATGAGTGAAATGAGCCTGCCATTTCAAGAAAAACAATGGACAGTTTTGTGGCTGATAATAAAAATTGACAGTTTCAAGTAAAAATTAGAATTTTGGAAAACTTGCATCCTACCATCGTGAACTTGACAGGTTTCCAATACATCATGGCTGCTCTGAAGAGACTGGTAGTGATATTAACAAACATGAGTTTTTAATACCACGTGCTGAACTGTGTCAACTTTGAGAAGATCTGCATAATCCAATATTTTCCAAATGATCAATGCATGATATACATCATACATGAGTAAGAGATCCATTTCATATACAAACCACATCGATGGAATTTTCACTGACATAGTTTCAGATTCCATAATGAAACCAATTATTTAGAAATCATGACTTAGAAATTGTTAAGATGCCTAGTGTGCTGCTGGAGGATCAGCATTGGACCGCGATCCAGAAGGTCGGCAGTTCAAACCCACCAGCTGCTCCTCAGAAACCCTACTCAGGGTCGCTATGACTTGGAACCGATGCCACAACACATAACCACTCATAAACTTTTAGCATAGTACCAAAGAAGAATATATAAAATAATATAAAAAGGTTATTAAAAACTCCTCCTTTCCCCAAACATATGTTTATTAATTAAGCAAGATTTTCTTTATATACTTCAACTAAACTAATACATTGTAAGAGACTCAGTACAGAAGCAGATAGAGTCAGACAGTAAAAAGATTTTCTAAATGTAAAACAATACTGCTATCGTTATTAAAATCTTGAAGAGATGGTTACTTTTCATGAAAATATTATTCTTATATTAACTTACAGTTTTATTATTTAAAAAAAAAATGAATGAATACGTAAATAATTCAAACTTTCTAAACAGACATTGCTTTTATTAAATTAATCAATTAAATTAGTTAATAAATAAAAACTTTCTGGGCTCCCTGATTTTAATGTGGAGTCCTGGTGTGGTGCTGTGGGATAAAGCACTAGACTGCAAGGTTGGTTTGAACCACAAGGTCAGCAGTTCAAACTCACCAGTTGTTCCCTGGAAACCCTATACAGGGTCGCTATGAGTCAGAACCCACTTGATGGCATTTAACAACAACAATTTTAACAGTTAAAGTAGTCCCCTAACCAAAAAAAAAAAACTCTTTTAAATTTCTCAGAGTGCTTTTTAAAGAACATTAATCTCATGAAATGACTCATATAAAAGGGCTACCTTTGTGGTGCTGTGGGTGAATGTGCCAGACAGCAAAGCCGTTTGAAACTGCAAGGTTGGAGGTTCAAGCTCATCAGCTGCTCCTCAGAAACCCTATACAGGGTCGCTATGGGTCAGAATTGACTCGACGGCACTTCACAACAACAACCCTGCTACTGTTGTTATGTTCCACTGAGCCAACCCCAGCCATGGAAACCCCATGTGATACAGACTGGACGGCTTCATAGGGTGTGAGGCAGTAATCTTAGCAGGAAGAGATGACCAGGCCTTTTCTGCGGAGCCACTGGGTAGGTCTGAACTCCCAACCTTTAGGTTAGCAGTTGGGTACAAACTGTGTACCACCAGGGATCTTAAATTTGAAAACTATGGGGAATCACAACACAAGCTATCCTTGGAGAGCTGTATCTGTCCATTTCAACCCATCAGAGGTGCTGAAATATACTAGCCCACTACACTGGCTTCTTCTGACGCCATGCAGTGATTCAGTTTGTCATCCTGGGAAGCACCCGAGTTCAGAACGCAGCAAACACTACTTACGTGAGCTGGGAGAAGGGGGAGTAGCACACCATAAACTTATCTCAACTCACCTTCAAGCCGGACCACCAGGGGGACCTTGAGTTCTAGCTCCCGGCAGGCTCTGATGATGCCATTGGCAATGATGGCACAGTTCACAATCCCACCGAAAATATTGACGAGGATGGCTTCAACCTGGAGTCAGAAGTAGAAAGTGGCTTATCAAAATGCTGCCAGCGACACTCTACAAACGAATTGCCTAAACAGTGGCCACACTTCAAACAGGAGGTCTTAGGTGTATTCTATACAGAGCATCAAATATAAAACAACAGCCACAGAAAATGTTAAGAAAAAAGTATTTGTATTCAATTAATTACTATCTGTTTTTACAGGCTTCCTGTCATTTCATTTATTGTGTCCTTGATTTCATTTGCAGCTATCTTTCTCTCAATCCGTTGAAAGTTCCTAAATATTGCTCTTTTGGATTCGTCATCAGGTAATTCCAATAACCACTTCTGTGTTATGTTAGAAACCACACAAAAACATCAAGTACAAGTCCAGAAGATTAATACTAAGATTTCTGAAATAAATAATACATTGAAAGAGCAAAGAACTAGAACTGAATCAATGGAAGGCCCAATTATTGAGCTTCAAGACATTATCTCCCAGTATTTATCTGTTGGAGTAAAAATCAGAAAAAAGAACCAAAAAATCCAAACAAAGTCTAAGAATTATGTGGGCCACTGTCAAGAGGAGTAACTTACATCACAGGACTGCAATTCCAGAACAGGAAAGAGACCAAAAACAAAACAAAACATAGACAATTGTTGAAGATTTGTTGAAAGAAAAGTTCTCCAACATCATTAAAGCCTAAAAGATGCACATTCAGGAAACGGAATGAATTCCACACAGAGATGGACCCCAAAAGAAAATCATGAAAACCTTTTAATCCAGGTTTTTCAAAACCAAAGACAAAGAAACAATCCTGAGAGCAGCTTGAGAAAAACAAAAATGTACCTACAAAGAGCTGATGTACATCAATGGGATGACATACAAAACTCTGAAAGAAAAAATAGTGCCAATCATAGAGGCAGCCAGACTGTTGCTCAAATACGATGGTGAAATTAGGACATTTCCATAGAAACAGACCAAAAATACTATAGGGAGTTCTGTGGCTAGAGAACTGACAACAGCAGGCGACAAGCCGAGGTGAACACATATGGTAATGTCCCTCAGAATTCAACTAGATATAAAAGACTGAAAATAAATAAACCATATAAACAAAAAATAAACACAAGACTGAAAATAGGGAACCAGAGATTATCTGTTTGAAACAACAGCAACCAAAAACCCCCACAAAGGAAAAAGAGGGAATGATGTTACAGAACTTGCAAATAAAGAGGAAATTCAGTAAACTTCTGGTGTGACACTGTAGGATCAGCAGTGTGAACCCACCAGGGGCTCCTGGGAAACACTATACAGGGTCACTGTGAGTCAGAACCGACTCGGTGGCACTTAACAACAACCCTAAAACTAAGGGGTCCTGGTTCCGTAGTGTGCTGCTAATCTCAAGGACCAGTGGTCTATAGGAGAAAGATGAGGATTTCTGCCCGTTTTGTAAAGATATGCAGCCTTGGAAACTGTATACAGGGCCACTGTGAGTCAGAACCAACTTAACAGCACCTAATCACTACTACCACCAACCTTAAAACTAGATCAAGCCGAACAACCTTAACATTCACCCTGTTGTTGTTGTTGTGAAGGGCTGTTGAGTCACTTCTGACTCACAGTGACTCTGTATAGGGTTTCCAAGGAGCAGCTGTAGTTCAAAGTCTAGTGCAGCGCCACAAAGTCTAGGAATGCACACTAACCGTGTCCTAGTCACAAACTTAACACTACCGGAAACCCTGTTGCTGTTATTAAGTGCAGTCAAGATGCCAAAGAGCGGCTCACAAGGAGCGGCTGCTGAGTTTGAACCACCGATCTTACTGTTGAAACCAACCATCCAGTCCAGCGTTTGACTCCACACAAAGCCCTAGGTCGATCCTAACCTAGCCATAGTCCTAAACCTAACTCCTTATGTCTACTTTCTTACCAAAATAATAATAATTACTATTAATATTTGCCATTACCATGTTATCCCATAGCATTCCATCAGTCACTATTCTGAACTCAAAATGGATTCAAACAGCATTCATTTGCCTATTCGTCATATACTGTCTTCTGGATTGTTTAGATTGTCATCTGGAACTATTGTTTTCATGAGCAGCGCCATTTAAAATTTCATGCACTTATGTTTTCTTCTCTCCATGGTTTATTACTTAAATTTTCATCTGTTACAGTGACTCGTGCAATATTTCAAAATGAGGCACTTATTAATTATTTGTTGCATCATACAGATAGGAATAAAAATTCAAACTTTCCCATGCATTCTTTACACCTCTTTGATATTCTAGAGGTATAATCTCAAAAATCACAGGTAGTTTAATGCTCCTGGCTCACCACCTGTTTTTGATTAAGCACACTCACAGACACACGCAAACAAAAGACGTGACGTGATACAAGGTAGGGGCCAGGAAACGTGAAGTCACTAGGAATTTTCAGGAATGTAAATTAAACCTATCATCTTAACCTGTTTGCACATATTCCATATTCAGAGTCGTGTGAGGAAAAAAAAAAAAAAAAAGCACTTGTCTTGACTTGATAAATAGGTATAAGAAAATCCTGTATAATTAACATGAAGAATGAGGTAATGAAGAGAATCCATTACCTAGATTAATTGATAACACCCACAGAAAACGGCTATTCATCAAGCAAAAGGCATCAAAATTCCAACAATGGATTCACAATTAAATTACGCTACACTAATTGCAAAGCATATATGTATGTGCAACCTGCCATGTTGAAGTCCCATGATTTCAATGCCTCAAATTAAGTACAGAAAACGTCTGAGGAAATAATACCTTCCATTTATTTGTACAGCACTTAACTGTTTCCAAAGTGACATGACACGGACCTACAGTTTTCATTGGGGTCCTTTCCAGAAGTCTGTTTAGTTAAGCACAGTAATAGCTGATGAAGGTACTCAGTATTGATATGATACGGCCCAAAGTCACATGGCTAAGACATAGCAGGAGTGAGACTCAACGCCCACTCTTGATTCCTTATTCATTCATTCATTCCCACCAGCTGCTATCACTGGGGATCTTGGGTCTCTTGCATAACCTGCCTGCAACCGTTTTCTCATCTGTAAAATGGGAATAATAATAGTACCTAGTCCATAAGGTTTTTGGAAGGTTTAAATGAGATAATACATGTGAAAAGCTACGCACAGCAACTGTGAAACTACTTAATGGATATTTACTCAAGAAATAATAATGTGAGGGGGGCAGGCTAACTAGAGAGTACGTAAGAAACCTTTCTGAATAGACTGTAGCTATGGTCAATTTAAATGTGAGAATCGAAACCTACTGAAGTCTAATAAACAGGTAATGTCTTAAGAATGAAAACATGAGCAATAACTTTCAAATTAATTAAGAGATTGGGGCTCCTCCCAGAAAAGAAATCTCATACAACCATTCACAGCAGCGTCATTGGTAAGCAGAAGTGTACTTTCTAATGACAGCTATTAAACGCTGTTAGCCTTGAAGTCTGATATAGCAGTAGATTACAACTAACTGTAGGGTGGAGAGAAGCTTTCCAGACAATGGGAAAAAAAAAACCCCAAACTCTCAATAGCAACAATGGCTCCAGAGAGTAGAACACAGACACTCGAGAACTGTAAAAAGGCGACTAAGGTTTGTGTCAAATAACTAGGGTTTGTAGTAAACTACACATTGGCACCTGTACATCTTAACCCAGGTTGCAGTCTGAGCTTTGGCGGGGGAAGTTGGAGGGAAGGGCTGCATATTCTATAAGAATGAGTTGAAATTTCACCTTCTCAATTTGAAATTTAGTTTCTCAAGAAGCTTTCTTGACTCATAGAGTTACACCGAATCACCACCTACAACACTACAATCATTCTACAGAACATGATGAATCTATGTGAATTCATCTGAACAGGCAAGAGGGGGTGGGAAGGGTGGCCTGGACGTGGTCCTGTGATTCCCTTCTAGTCCAGGACAGTACACCCTGGAAGGTGCGTGAAATACGACCTGTGAACCTGGTATTTCCCGTTATTGTCAGTTCCCATGAATCTCTCATACCATCCTGTTTAATGTTAAGTCTCGCATGCATAAATATCTAAAAGTAGATGTTCTTCACATGACACCTGTATGTAAGCAAGCCAATCAAACGGTGCCGAATTCAAGGAAAACCCTCTTTTCCAAAGGTGAAGGAGTAACTGGCTTTGTTAGAGTCACTGACGTCAGCATTGTGTTTGCTTTCCAACTGGTTTGCTCTCCCACAAGCTTTGTTTCTGTCTCTGCAGCATGCACCTCCCTCGCTAGTGTCACAAAGGGCCTTTGTAACGTGTTCTCCATCTTCTGACAATCAACAGAGAACACAGCCCAAGACAGGGAGTTATCATCTAACAAATAATGGTTTAAAAATGGAATGAATTCTATTAATATCAATAGAGAATTAATGACCGTCTCCTATGTACCAGGACCACAGGCAAGGACTTGCGATATGGAGATGAATAAGATGTCATCACGATGGAAGGAATTTCAAGACTGCTTTGAAAGCCAGACCAAGAAAATGTCATTTGCAATACACGATGAAGAGAAGCCTCAGCATTGTCAGAGCTGGGGCATTAGTGCAGATTCTTGGGATGCGAGAGGCTTTTGGGGAGAGGTGATAATCCAGTCAACAAAGAGACAGAAACTGGAGGGGTGCTGGGTAGAAGGGAGCAGTAAGGGTGAAAGCCGAGGGTAACCCAGTAGGTCCACTTAGGAAGAAATTAAATGAGAATGGAAACTGATGCCAGTGAAGAGAGTAAGGCAGAGGCGAGAGAGCAGGATGGGAATTGGGCTTTTCTGGTTTCTTCCGTCCTTTTCCCAAGCTGTCTGCAGGGTGAGTTGTCCTGCCCACCCACCTGCCCGGGAGAAGGCCGCAGACAGAAGAGGTCAATGATAGGTTGTTTCTGTTGTTAAATACAGTCAAGTCGCTTCTGACTCATAGCGACCCTGTACAGGGTTCCCAAGGCGTGGCTGGTGAGTTTGAACTGCTGACCTTGTGGTTCAAACCGACCTTGG